GTGGGGGAGGTGCTGTTCCTCCCCCTCTGGTGTCTCCCTGGTGGCGGGGTGGGGAGATCCTAAAGGCCAGAGTCCAGTGGCCACCTCTCAGGAAGTCAGGAATGCATACCCCCAGGTCACACCTGAGCCTCTGCTGCCCCTGCAGTGCTGTTGCCTTCCCCAAGCCCCAAATCCGGCCAGAGCAATTCCAGATCCCTGGGCAGCCACACCTCACTAATCCTGGGGCTCCCCTAAGCCCATCTGCAGAGTGAGGTATTTTGGCAGGACAGGAGAACCCAACACTGGAGGAGAGCACCTGGACCCGCAGGGGTCAGCTCTGCTGTGGAGCCCTGTGGGCGTCCAGGATGCTTCCACCCTTTGGCTCCTGCATCTCCACTTCGCATTTTACCATCTGCATAGTCCAAATTGCCAAGGTCTCTGAGAACGTTAAAGTCTTTGCACCTGTATTCTCAAAGGAGGGGCCAGCCACACTGAAGAGTGAGTAGTGGGTGGGGGAGACAGACCATGAAAGAGGCTGCATTTTCCAGGGAGGGGTCAAAGGCAGTCTGGGCATCCCCGGGGCCCCCGAGGGCTGGGGATAGGGGCTTTCTAAAGGGTACCCCATGTCCCCCCAGCTTGTCCAAGACTCCTCCTTGGCTCCCAGGAGAAAATAAAGACTGCCCTGAGGGCACCAGCATGGACCATGGTCAGATCCCATCTGGGGGACAGCAGCCTGGAGCAGGCTCTGCTCAGAGGGATGGAAGAGATGTCACCTGGCCACGGGGTGGGGAGGGCAGTCTGGGAAGTTCAGGGTGGCATGCCAGTAGGGGTCCCTGGGGTGTTGACCCTGAGACCCACGTAACAAAAGTGCTCTAAAGGAAAGTGAGCTACCTCAACCCTTGGCCGTCCTCCAGCCTGGGTGCCAGGGACATGGGCTTGGCCCCCAAGTGAGACCCCTTCAAGAAGCTTCTGGACACCCCCCACACATCTGTCCCAATTCCCATTTCTACTGCAGTCCGTCTACCTCCCTGCTTCTAGATCATCTTCATCCTGCAGCTTGTCCTGCCTCGCTCGCCCTGGCTGAGGCTCCTGAGTCTTTTTCTCTATTCCTCAACCCAGCAGTATAGTGTGGGCCCTGGAAGCTGGCCCCTCTCAGGGGGCTGAGCTCTCCTTTAAGCCTTTGATTGAGGAGATGGAAGCTGAATTTTGGGGTATTCAAATCATTCCTCTTTGGACCAAATGCAGTGATTTCCCTGGACTGAGAAATCTTTTTAAATCCTGTTGCAGTGCCAGGAGGCTCAGGAGCAGATCTGAGCCACAGTTACGGGATCCCTGGGAGACAGGCACCCATCCAGCAGGGGCCCAGGGGAGAGACGGAGGAGAATGGGGTTTTTGGTCTTGGCCACTAGACACAGGTCTGAATTGGAGGAGCTTAACAAACACTGATTTTTGTCTTCTGGAAAAGAGAACAGGTTGGCCAGGGAGGTCCACGCAGATGGCCATGGGGCAGAGGATGGAGGAGAAAGGACAAAGGCTTCGGTGCGGGGCCCTCAGGGTGGGGGGCAACCAATCCCTGTGGAGACTGGCCTGAGCCAGGGCTGTGCCCAGATACAGGGGCACCAACAGTTGCTTTTGCTGCAGTGATGTGACCGGCAGGAAAACAGAGTGGGAAATGAACCTCAGTCAGTATGGTCCAGGGGCCCCTACTCAAGGCCAGACCTGCAGGCTGTGCCCGCGGCACCCCCTCAGGTGCCCACGGCCACAGGGCCTCGCCACGGCCCTATTACCATAAGCGATAATGCAGAGGTGTGATAAAAGCCATCTGTCATTCATAAACTGCGACGTCGCCTTTTTTGCAAAGCCATAAGCCATCCTGGGGCTCAGCCAAGAAATGGCCTATAAAATCCTGAGTAATGACCTCAAAGCATACTTTCCAATATAAACAATATTCTAGGCAGCTGTTTCTAGGATTTATCTGTGTGCAGTAATTTTATACCCAAAAAGATTACCAGGCTCAGTGTCTGATGCCCCTCTTCAGCAGCACCCCTTCCCCCCCATTAACAGCAGTAAAGCATCTAGAACGTGTTCCACAGTCCTGGGAGCACAGGATCCTGTCCCCTGGGTGACAAGTGGCTGCGTGTGCTCATGTGCCGTGCCCTTTGCCATCGGATGCATCGGCACGCAGGGGCCTGGGGGGAATGCTGGCTGTCTTTGGGATCTCCAAGTTACCAGGGAGGAGGAGCTCAGCCTTGTCCTGAAACTGTTTCTATGGTAACGCAAGAACAGCAGGTTTTGTCTGGGTTGGACTAGGGCAGGCATCCTCCCTGGCAAGGGCTGTAGGGGACCCTTCTGACCACATGCCCGGGGCAGAGCCTGAAGTGTGCAGAGGACAGGGAGCCTCAGGAGGAGGGGCCTGCCGGAACCTGCTCGGGGCCCACCTGGGGCTTGCACCCAACAAACAGAGGAGACTTGGAACTTTCATGATTTGGCTGAGGAGGTTGTTAGCACTGGCCATGGGGGTCAAAGCTCCTCTTCACACAACTGCTCCCCCAGGGAGAACTCGACATCCCCACACCGGGCAGGGTATCAGCTTGAGACTTGTGCTCCAGACCTGGAAAATCGAGGGCTCTGTATAAGTTTTGCTGTAATTTAGTTTCTCACTTGAATCTTGCCTTTGCCTCCAAATATCAGAACTTAGTTTTCTAATATCTGCAATTTCATCTCTAATCGGCAAACCCGTAGATTACATTATGCATAAAATAATGTTTGATGAATGCCTTTTAATTTCACAAAATGCCTCTTTCTAAAATTATTCCCCTTGACCCAGGAAAAGACAGAATGATGTCACTGGCAACTTGGAGATAAGAATGTTTTGCAAGTTCTATCAATTTTGGCTTTCTACATTCAGGTTAGGAAACACAGATGGACATCGGAGTGATGTCCTCAATTGTTGAGAGGAAGGAGACAATCTAACTGATAACACGTTCAATTGCTCTGTCCCCGTCCTCCCCCAGACCCTCCCCTTAGCAGGGGCAATGGCCGCAGAAGAATCGGTGGTCCCAAAGCAGCGCCCCAAGTGCCTTGCAGTCGGGATCTGGAGGCATCTGCCTTGTAATGTCTGTGCTGCCTGCCGAGGACCAGAGCTGGGCCAATCCAGCAACAGCATCCAGCCAGCCTGGGACCCACGAAAGCTGCACAAGAGCTTCTGGGAGAGCCCCTACCTGTCTGCACACTCTGCCCAGGTGCCAGTCAACTTCTTCATCTGCCTGTTCACAAGGCCCCTCATGGGAGCCTCCTAAGCTCTCCGGGCAGTAGAGATCTCACACCCCCAGATTCCTAGGACTCTGTGTCTACCCGTCTGCTTTCCGTGAGGCCCGAGCCTCTGTGGAACCGAGAACCCTGCGTGGGCTTCCTTGTGGCTCCCACATGGGTGCACTCAGCTGAAAGTCTTCATCCAGAACAGAGAGCCGGAGGCAGCCACTCGTGTTTCCTGAGAATTTTCTGTGCTACGAACCCTGGCCACTTAGAGCGCTGGCTCCCCACTTGGACACGTGGATTCTACCGTCCAGCACCCTTCCCGCAGCCCTGGGAGGAGGAAGGGTACTCCCGTCCATGGTCGCTCAGGGCAGAAGCTAGGCTCAGAAATCCAAGCAATGTTGCGCGCCTCCTGAGGGCGACGCGACCGCAGCTGGATACAGAGCTGGCTAATCTGACCCAGAGCCCTGCCCCTACTGACCCACCAGGGCAAAGAAGAGTGGTTCCAAGTATATGACTGACCCACATGGGAACGGGGAACTCTGAGCACCAGCGATGTGTGCCCGGCGCCAGGCGCTTCCAAGACAGCTGCCAATTGAATCCTTGCCACAAACATCCCTTTTGCAGCAGGGAAACCGAGGCCCCAGAAATGCATCCACATGCTCACCATCACTTTGCCAGCGAGGGATGGACCAAGCTGGACCCAGGTCTGCAGGGCTTCCTGCTCTACCCCCTGGCACCAGCTGTGCCCACAGTCCCCCTCCAACCACCCTGTCCTGGGGCTCAGTCCCCAGCCCCAGTGCATATGCAGCTGTGGGAGGGCAGTGTGGGACTCTGCAGGCCTCCGCTTCCTTATAAAGAGTAGTCACAGTACCTGTACTTTGTAAGGGTGATTCGCTATGTGGCCACTATTGGTGGCCATCGGCTGGCCCCACCGGCAGCTCCTCTATCCTTCCAGGGGTCCCATCTGGGGTCCCATCTGGACTGGTGATATGGCCCCCATGGGGGTCTGTCCCCTTATTTTCAAAGGCCAGTGTCTGCAGGGTAAGGACTCCCTCTTACCCCTAAGGCCAGATGTGGTGACCTCTAGGAGCAGGGTTCACTTTGGCCACAGCAGACGTCAGCCTGGTCCCGGCCCCATTGACCTACCAGGGTTTTCCCAACAGAATCATCCCAGATCCTCAAACACGTCTTCCTTCCTTCCCTTCTTCAGGGGCTGACAATGTGGACTCTGGGATTCTCCACAGGACCATGTGTTACCCGCTAGCATCCTACTGGTCACTAAGCGTGTTTCCCATGACCAAAGGGTGACACACCATGAGAATCTCCTGGGACTAGAACGTGTGCCCTTCCAAGGAGCTGGGGGAAAAGCCCTGGGCCGCCGCCTGCATGTGAACTTGGGTCCTCGCTGGGAGGCGCAGTCTCAGACTGGTCCTTTGATGCTGGTTTGCCTTGTGGTTAGGAATTACAGCTGCTTTTTGCTTCAATGACACCAAGTGAGTCTGCTGAGGGCAGTTTGGTTAACTGTCAGCGAGAACATTTTTATACTTGTAACCTGTAATACTCCAACAACTGGTTTTTAAGAACTACATATTGAGTATCTGAACTATGAGCCACTCTGCCCCTGCAGCGAAGACTGGTGTGTGCGCCCTGCCTCCTGCCCCATGAATCTCTACATTCCCTCTGTTTTCCATCAAAGAAAGTGTGATTATTTTATAAATTCTAGGGCATCGTTTTATCATATACGATTATGACTGCAAACTCACTTTCCTCCACAATTCAGTAGACACAAGGTATTGTCATGGCCTCTCAAGAATGCCTTGCTGGGTTGAGTTGCTTCCTTCTGTAGACGGTGGTGGGAAGCTCGGGTCTGGCCCTGCCTGGCTCAGAGCAGGGATGTGGACACACAGTGAAACTTTTCATCATGCTCCTTCCTAGGTGGATGAAAATAAAGTGATGTGACTAAACCTATGGCATGGAAATGGAAATTCAGACCTCATATAAATGATGTCAGGTGGCAACAGGCAGAACAAGGAAGCAGGGTGAGGGGTGGCAAGTAAGGGCATGAAGATCTAAAAGAAATGAGGGAGCAAGCCCACAGACATCTGGGCAAAGAATCCTTCAACAGCACATGCAAAGGCCCTGGGGTATATACCTGCTTGTCTAGGAAGTAGAAGAGAGAGCAGTATAAGACAAGTCAGAGAGTGGGGTAGAGGCAGGTCCTGGATGGCCTTGCAGGTGCTTTGGATGGAGAGTAACTGAAGGACTTTGGGCGAAAACTGACCTGTTCTATTTGTCTTAATAAGATCGCTCTGATGTCCTGTGCAGCATGCAGTGGGGGCGGGGAGGGCAGGGCAAGGACGAAAGCCAGGAAAACCAGGGAAGAGGATGTCCCAACAGTCCAGGCAATGGACGCCGGTTTCAATCAGCAGTGGAGATGGTAAGGACATGTTTTGAAAACTGCATTAACAGGATTTATGTCCGGGATGATCCCAAGATTTCTCGGCCCAGGCAAATATCTGACCAGTAGGAGTGTTGGGGTGGCGGGGGACGGCTGGGGGCTGAGGGCAGATTTTGGTCTTGGGCATGCTGGGTTTGAGATTTTCACCGGTAATCCAAGCGGAAAAAGCCAGTTGGGCATTCGTTCTGCAGACATGGGGTGGGAGTGCACCGATGACATTTAGTGGGACTGGAGGAGACACCAGGGGTGCATGGAGACAGGGGTCCCGGGACTGAGCTCGTGTCTCCAGGTGCAGGAGCCAGGCAATTGGACTGCCCAATGAGGGTGGCAGAGAAGGAGCAGTGGTGGTAGGAGGGGACTGGGATCTGCTCGTGGTTGGGATATTAGGGCTGGAGCAGGGGAGATGGGGGAAAAAGGAGCCTGGAAGTCCCAAGCCCATGAGGACATGGCCACATGTATGTTTCAGAAGCACTTCTTCATTGAACGGAGTGTTTATAACAAACCTCTGGTGAGTGGGATGGAGCAGCAAGTTCCACAGGCACCCCAGTCAAAGAGACGCAATTTTCCTACTCTTTGTGGTTTGCCGGGCATTTTAACACTGCTAAGTGCTGAATTTTACAAAGTGGATTTTCAGCACCTATCGAATGATCAGAGGATTTTCTCCTTCATCTGTGAAGTGAACAGAGTGGAGTGCTCGCTGCTTAGAGGTGGGATGGCCTTGTCTGGGGGACACCAGCGTCAGGATTGTCTGAAATGGCCAGTGACTCTCCACCCTTTTCTTCCACTTTGGAGCGATTTCTGTAACATGCCAGGTGTCTGTTCCTCAAGTGTCTGATAAAGGTCAGGCAACACGGGCCTGACTTCTGTGTTTAGGGATAAATATTTGATCATTTTTCAACTTCTCCTACGATGATTGGTCTAGCCCCATTTTCTAGACCTTTGTTTGAACTTTTCTTTAAAAACACCTCTTTGGTTTGCATCATCAAGCTGATATCGTGGCACCATCTCATCAGGGACTTTCAAGCCTGTCCCCCTCCCAGCCCTGCGCCTCACTCCAGAGCCCTCATCTGCATGCCCTTCTGTCCCTCACTCTGGCCTCACCGCTCACTGGCTCTCCCACTGGCCTTTTCCATCTTCTTAGCCACCTCCAGCACTGCTTACTTTCTAATGCATTTGCTTTTGGTTTGTTCTGCGTTAATTCGTCCCTTCTTTATTTGGGATTTTTAAAATTGCTCTTCTTTTAGTTTCTTGGACTGAAAACTCAGTTCACGTACATGTGGTCATTATTGTGTTCTAGTGAGTGGGGTCATCACCCCAACTGCCCTCTGAGCGCCCCTTTGGTGGCCTCCTGAACATTTTAATGGGTGCTGTTCTCATTTGCTTTCATTTTTAAATAGTGTGTAATTTCCCTTCTGGTTTCCTTGATGACCTCCAAATTATATATACGAGTTTTTATTTGTGGTATTAATTTCCAGGTAGAAATATTTTTAAAGCTTAGCTCTTGTTTTTATTAAACTGCGTTGTGTTCAATGAACAGCCTGCAGATCACGTATGCATGTGTTTCTGCACGAATGTGTATATGCACACAGAGTGAATGGACTGCAGATCACGTATGCATGTGTTTCTGCACGAATGTGTATATGCACACACAGTGAACAGACTGCAGATTGGCCGCCTTTGCAATTTCTTAACATTTCCCTTATGGTCAAAAGATGGTCAGTTTTGTGGCTCTTTGTGAATGATAGAATATAAATCATGTATTTGAGCAATCCAAAATGTCCAAAATAAAGTCAAGTTTTTTATTGTTTTATTTGTTCATTTTTGGCTTTTTGACCTGTTGCTTTAAATGAGAACAAAGAAGCTCTATTTTCCAATGACCCCTCAGGCTATGGCCTTGGGGCTGAGGAATGAATGAGCCAGAGGCTCCACCTTGTCCACTGAATGCTTCCCCACTCCCCCTGTTCCAAGTCACCCCAGGAGTCCCTCAAAGCCAGCACAGAGGACAGTGGTCTCAACTCACCTTCTTCTGGGGGGCCATCTCTCCTGGGTAAGGTCTGCTGGCCAGGCCCGTTACCCCATCACCCCTGTCCGCCAAGTCCAGTTCCACTTTCTCTGGTGCCAGCAGACAGGGGTTAAAAGTGCACACCCCATGATGCCTGGACACAGGTGCCGGGTGAAGACCATGACCTGCTCCTCCTCCCTGCTGTCTGTCTGCCCCCAGCTCCCAGAATAGCCTGTGGTCAAGGCTGGCCTGTGGTAAACCGCCACAGAAGTCTCCCTGCTGGGTCCTGGATGAGTAATCCTTAGGAAAACATCGAAGGGTCTGAAAGATGTAGGTGCCAGGACTTAGTGGGTGGGTGCCTCTGGGCCTCCCTCCTGGGCCCTTCTGGAATGTTCTCCAGCCATTTGGCCAGGAAAACCAGTCATCTTCCGCTGATAGGCCTACAGCTCCCAGGACAGTCTTCCTCCAGCAGCTCTGCCTCCTCAGCCGGTTATGCAAACCCCAAGTGTCTTCCCCACCCTCGTCCTTGTGGTGCGGGTTCCACGTCACAGATGACCGCTGTCCTGGCTCCTCCATCCCCCACTCAAGAGTCACCATTATGCCTCTCCTACACTTCCGCTCTTCCTGGGCCTCACCTCCGGTCACCTAAAGGAGCCCTGTATTAATGGTGGCTTCTCAGCCAGGCCAGCTGGTGGCTTCGCACACCCAGGGGAGGTTTAGGGTGAGAGGCTCGCCTCCGCTGTGCTTTAACCAGAACTGAGGAGTGACTGGCAGACTTCTCTGCTGCCCTAAGCACTTTAGAGCAAGTGGCGCCTCCCCATGCTGCCTGTCCCCAGGGACCCAGCCACAAAGAACCCAAAGACCTTACATCTACATCCGGTACCCAGGCTGCTTGCTCCATCTCTGCCTGGAAAATACCTCCCTCCACCATCCACCGGGGAATGCCGTCCCCACCACTGCAGCCCACTGTTTTTTTTTTGTGATTTCCATGGATGAATGGATTGAACCGAATCAAATTACTCCTCAGAGCAAAGTATAAAGGGCAGAAAAATCTAGCCAAGGGTTTTCATGCTCCGTCCCTGTAGCACGTGTTCTTTTCAAAGGCCATTTCCTGTGTGTACCTAAACCTGCTAAGGCCTGACCCTGAGTTGGATGGTGGCTTGTGGTCTGCTCTGAGCACCTGCTCTGCACCAGGGCAGAGCTGTGAACGAGGCATGGTAGGAGGCTCCTACATAGTGGGGCATATGCATTTTAGGGGAGTCAAGCCATAAACAAGAACAGAAGATGTTACCTTCAGATAGTGGCGGGTGTTGCTAGGAAAATAGAGTAGTCAGACATTGAGGAAAGGGGGTGAGGATACTTCGAAACCATCTGGTCAGCGAGACAATGACTCTTCAAGGTGATAGTTGAGGTGAACCAAGACCTAGGCAAGAGAGCCATCCAGTGGTGAACAGGAGTCCAACTAACACCTCAGATCCCCAAAGAATCCATCAGGGGAGGGACATGAATAAGTGCCCTGTGAGCCCCAGTGAAGCCCCCTACATGATGTCTACAATTCATGGGGTCAGGTCACCCCACGGCCACCCTGAGGACATGGACCAGGGGAGGGCTGAGGGGGCCAGAGACTGCAGAACCCCAAGGCCAAGGGAGACATTGTGGGGCTCATGGTTCTGCTCCCCCAGTGGAAGGGGGAGGGGCTTGCTCACCAACCTCCATCTCAGCTTGGATATCATCTCCTTGACCTCTCCGGGTAACCTTGCCCAAAGTTACCTCTTCTGCACACAAATGGTGCAGTGTGGGAGGGAGGGGAGCTCCATCTCCAGGTCAGACCCACCTTCACACCCTGCCCCCTCCAACCTCCAGCTCCAACTCCAGAAGGGCTGAGTGACCATTTCACTTACTTCCAATGACTTCAGAGACACTTACTTCACTGACCAGCTGGGCTGGGACTCCTCTCCTTCACCAAGCATCTAGTGGGTGCCTATTGCATGTTCGGGCCTGGGCCAGACATGGAGATTCAATGATGAGTCTCAGGGATGAAGTACCCTGAATTCAGGTAAGAGGAAATTGAAGTCCAGAGAGGGCAGTGAGATGCCCAGGCAGCACAGCAAGTGGACATGAAAGCAGGGGCTCCCTCCTTGGCCCCCCACCAGAGACTGCTTCCCCTCTCAGTAGTGCCAGGGGCTGAAAACAATTTGCAGGGCCTGGAGGGCATGGGGCAGACAGCCTGTTTGCTTGGCAATGGATATGTTTGGACTGCCTTCCCCAGCCAGGTTCACTTAACCCTTCTCACCAGGACTTTAGACTGACGTCCACATTAATATTCCCTTTTGGGGTGTGGGGGCCCAGAAGTTGTGTGGGCCCAAAAGACGGAAGAGGCCACGTAGAAGTGCCACGCCCCTGGGTCTGGATGGCTGATTTTCCGCATGTGGAGAAGCAAATGACACACACACACACACACACACACACACACAAGCCAGGGAGGTGCGGCCTCCGCAAACACCAGGTACCTCTCAGTGCCAAGCGTATCCTAGCACTGGGGCGCCCGCGCCACCAGAGTTAAGGCGCAGGCGTGTCCCCTTGGGGTGGGGTGGGGCCCCAGCCGGGTGCAGAGCTGCTCTGGCATCCCCTCCGGATTTGCTATTTGGGCGAAATACCGAGCTCCTCTCGTCTCTCCGCCGGCGGCGCCCGGTCGCCCCTTCCTCCCCTCGCCGGCAGCGGGGCGCGCGGGGGGCGTCCCCGAGGCGGGGGGCGGGGGCACAAGGTCGCCGCCCGGCGGGGAGCTCATCCGGCGGCGCAGACGCCCAGCGGCTCCGGGGAGGGATTTGGCCTGGGCTCTGGCCCTCGGCTCATCTGGGGAGGAGCCTGGAGGCTGCCGCTGGCGGCGGCCGGCCCCGGGCAATCGGAGGTCCTACGTACCGCGGCCTGGCCGAAGAGCCCCCCTAGACATCGCCCGCGCGCGCTCCCCGTGCTGCAGGAGCCCGCTCGCCGCGCCCGAGCCCTCCGGCCTTCGTCTCTCGGGTCTCTCCGTCTTCTCTCGGCCACCGAGGGAAGAAGGCGCCCTCTCCTTAGCGGGCCCGGAGCTGCAGAAGCAACGCGGGGCGCGGCCGAGGGGAGGAGAAAGGAGAGGGAGCGGAGTCGGCTCGGGCCTGGCGGTGACTCGCGGGGCTGCGCCTCCGCCAATCTGCGGGCGCTGACGCGGGGGGCGGCTCCGCGGCTCTCCGATATCTGCCGGCCCGGGCGCGGGGCGCCGAGAGGCTCGGCCGCGCGGGCGCTGCGCTCCGGGGACGGCCGCTGCACCTGCCCGGGGACCTCCCCGGCCGCTCCGTGCGCCCCCAACCCCGAACCCGCCCCCTCCTTGTCCCCGCGGCCCTGCGCCCTGCTCCCCCTCCAGGTCCCCGCCTCCGGACCGCGGCGTGAGAGAGACGAGCCTTGCCCGAAGGAGCCGCCCCTTCTCCGCCTGGCCAGCCCGGCGCCTGGCGCGGCCCACGGAGCCGCGGAGGGGACTGCGCCGCGCCATCTCCACCGCCACCCCCAGGCCGCCGCGCCCTGGCCTAGATGGGCCGCAGCGTCGGGCCCCTGCGCGCCGGATGAGCGCAGAGACCACAAGCCGGCCGCTGAGTGCGCGGGGCCTCACCCGGCTGCGCACCCAGCTCCGCGGACGAGGGCCGCTAGGCCCGGCCGCCGAGGGCGCGGCCACTCCGGAGAGGCGAGAGGGAACGGCCCCGAGATGGCCCGGCGAGCGGGCTCTTTGGCGGTGGGCGCCCTACACGTGGTGCGGGCCGGGGAACAGCCCTGGAGCTGGTAGCTGTCCGACGCCAGATGGACCTTGACCTGTGCCTGGGCACTGCGTTCGTGCCAAGCCAAGACTAGCCGGGGCACGGGCGGAGCGCGCTCTAGGAGGTCGCCCGGAGCCCAGGCCGCGCTCGCCGGCGCGGCCATGAAGATGATCCTGGTGCGCAGGTTCCGCGTGCTCATCCTGATGGTGTTCCTGGTGGCCTGCGCGCTGCACATCGTGCTGGACTTGCTGCCCAAACTGGAGCGGCGCGCCGTGCGGCCCTCGGGGGAACCCGGTTGCTCGTGCGCGCAACCCGCGGTCGAGGCGGCGGCGCCTGGCTGGGCCAAGGCGCGGGGCCGCCCCGGGGAGCCCCCGGCCGCCTCGTCCGCGGCTGGCGACGCAGGCTGGCCCAACAAACACACGCTGCGTATCCTGCAGGACTTTAGCTCCGACCCTGCCTCCAACCTCACATCCCACTCTCTGGAGAAACTGCTGGCCGCAGCCGAACCGGCCGAAGGCGCCTTGCAGGGGCAGGAGCCCGGCAGTCCCCGGCGCCGCGATCCCGCGCACCGGCCACTGCTCCGAGATCCTGGGCCCCGTCGGTCGGCGCCGCCCCCTGGCCCGAGCGGGGACAGCTCTCTCCTGGCTAGGCTGTTTGAACACCCACTCTACCAGGTGTCGGTTCCGCCGCTGACGGAGGACGACGTCCTCTTCAATGTGAACAGCGACATCAGGTTCAACCCCAAGGCGGCAGCTGAGAATCCTGACTGGTGAGTGAGGCGAGAGGCAGCTCAGGGTGGGTGCTGCCAGGCCCCGACCCTCAAGCAGCCATCAAACTGTGCTCCCCTTCCCAGGAAATGCCCTTGCACACCCCAGGCATTGTTTAAAGAGGCCCAGGGGCTCGGGAACCCCCAGGGGGCATGGGCCCCCCATGGCAGAGTTCCCAACCCCCACGCCCCCTCCTCCGAGGGGAGCTTTGTGAGGCAGGAGAGAGAGGATGCTGCCTCTTGCTCAGGGCAGTGCCTTTGTCTCCAGAATGACTGCCTCCTTGAGAAGGGCTGCTGGGTGGTTTGGGAGCTACTCCCTGCGGAGTCGGGGGAGGGTCAGTGCTGACTCTATAGGACAGCAGTGCTGGCCTGTGAGGTCCTGGTCGCTGGCTCCAGAAACTAAGTCAGGCAATGCATGCACCAGCCGGCAAAGGAGTGAATGAGAGAGCCTGCCCCTAACCTTTCCCTGGGGAGCTGCTGGCCACCGAGCTTTCAGATCTCCGGCGACATTTCTCCAGTGGACACGTCAGGAAAGTCTGCAGAAGCCTAATGAGCCTTGTAAGCCAGTCGCTGAGAACAAAATTAGCAGAGGGGCGTGCTGGCCCCAGTGAGGCGTAACAAAAGGGTTCTCCCAGCCGGGGTGCAAACAGCAGCTGCCCTTGGAACGCTGCCAGCTCCATTGGGTGACAGCTTCATAAAAGGTGAGAAGCATCCTCAGGAGCATCTCCTTAAGCTGTCCCGGTTTAAACCCTTCCCCCCAGGCCCTCCACAGCCACACAGTTCAGAATAAGCAGATTCTGCAGGCTGGAGTAGTGAAATATTAACTAGCAGCAAGGCCAGAATAAATAGCTACCCAAGCAACTCAGGGGGAAGGCAGCTTCCCAAAACATCTTATACAAACCCTTTCTACCCTGAAATTTGACTAGGCCCAGGCTTTTCTGTCAAAATACACCACGGTGTTTGGTGGCGTCTGAGCTTTGTCTGCTGGCCAGGCTCAAGGAAATGCTCAGAAACTTGAGAATCAGAGCAGTGGCCCAGGCTTGGGGCTCTTCACAGGAAGGACAGAGCCCAGGACCTGTGGTCAGTGATGTGGCCCTGGTGGGACTGGGCTTGGGGCCAGAAGGGCCTCATTTGCTGGTGTATTAGAGCTAAGACAAATTCCACTTTCCCTCCAGCCCAGCAGCAGATAGGCTCTGTCCTCCCGCAGACTGGCCCCTTGACTCCGGAGATGTAAGGACAGGCCACATGGGCAGCAGGTCCTCACATTGGGCCTCGACAGGAGTGAGTGCCTGCCTCTTTCCTCTCTCCCCACCCAGGACTGCTCTCATTAAAATCAAATTTAGCTTCTTGCATCATTTCTACCCTTGGTTGTTGGAACCAAAGCAGAGTGCCCAGGGAAGGTTTCTGACAGGCGGGGTGTGTCTCTGATGTGCACACGGTTTGTGGTGAAAGAAGGCTCGCTTGTCTGTCACCAGGAAGAGCTGACAGCCTCTCATACCCCAAGCTGACATCACACTTGCTGGGCTGTTTTCGTGACCCCAGGACAGACTCGGTAGGGCCTGGCACTGAAGCTCTGGGCTTGATCTTGATTTAGTTATAGCTGTCTGGGCGTCTCCTGAGGGAAAGTAAGAATTACAGTTTAGATATGTTATTAGTTAGTACAACAACAGCCACAGAAAAAGTAGGGATGTCCGCAAAGTCCTGTTTGGGCAGAGGCATCTTTGAACGAATCTGCATTTGTTTGGATCCAAAGTTAAAACCTTGGCATTGGCACCAACTCACCCGTATTCATCCAGAATCTTACCACTCTCTGTTCTTTCCCTGCTGACTCCGGGTCCCCTTCATTTTCTGTAGGCCACGTGAAGGCACTGAAAATGAAGAATTCTTGCCCACGGGGGAGGTGGCAGTGGACTCCTACCCCAACTGGCTTAAGTTCCACATCGGCATTAACCGGTATGAGCTCTACTCCAGACATAACCCAGCAATCGAAGCCCTCCTGCGTGACCTCGGTGCTCAGAAGATAACCAGTGTCGGTAGGTGCCCTCCCTGAGCTTTCCGATGGGGTCAGGTGTGCTGGGGGCTGGCTTTCCTTCGCAGGAGAGCTGGGAAGCCGTTGCTCCTTGCTGGAACATGGCTTCCTGGAGTGGTTGGTAAGGGCAGCCTTCTAGAGGGACAAACCTGCAGGGCCTCGAAGGGAGAGCAGGGACACCTTCGATGCCGTCAGTGGTTCCGGGGCTACCGCCTGCTTTCGCAAGGCTAGCGGGGGGGGGAGGGGTGCTGCACAGCCATTCCTGTTGCGTTCTGCTTACCCACCTAGGAGGGGCACTTTCCAGGCTACAGTGTAAAGAAGGGGCATGCGCCCCTGATGGCTGGGGCCCCTCCCTCAGCAGAGCAGGGAGACCCAGGGCAGAGCTCAGAGACCAGCTCCGCACCAGAGCTCTGCCAGGGGCTCCTGCCACTTCCTGTGCCCAGGGAGTGACCAGGGCTCAGCTCTGTCTCGGGTGGAGGCCCACATGCTTGGTAATTCAGAGGCAACATCATTGAGTACTTTGGGATCTGCTGAATTGCAGGACAGAAAAAGGCATCCGACTACTGATTTCAGGGAAATGTGCCAGCAGCAGTTTCTGAGCATAGAGGTTTGCGGCCGCTGTTCCCAGGCCTGGAGGCCATGGTTTGTGAAGGTCCGCATTAGCCACTGGTGCTCCAAGAGGCCCTGGGGTGGAAAAACAGCCCTGGGGGCTTTGCAGGAAGCTAGCCTGGGGACACACAGCTGGGAAGGGGTGCAGGGAGGCCAGTCGGGGGCAACATGAGTGCAGGTCCCCACCTGTGCTGTGCAGTAGGCAGTTCCAGACACTGTCGTCTTGGTGTTCCCCTAAGAAACACTGAGGTGGAAAGGGGCCCAGGATCCTGGGGATCCGTCCAGTTGCTGATACAAGGGAGTGAGGCTGACCAGTGGGTTTTCCAGAGGTCCTTAAGGACTGTTTTGGCTCCTTCTGCCCAGTACTGAGCTGTTTGCTGGGCATCTGCCTTGCTGCGTAGCTTTTCTCTAGCATGTGATTGCTCACCTTCGTGAAAGGGATCGCGCAGGAAAAAGCTGGTGTCTCTTCTCTTAGCTGGCTGCACAGGAGGAGTCCGAGCACCTCCCCAGACCCCAGCCCGGCCTCAGCCCTCCCCATGAGAAGCTCAGCCTCCCTCCTGCCCCTTGCAGGTGTCAGAGGCTTCAGGTGGTGCTGGGAAGCAATCTGTGTGCATGACAGAGATTGTCCTGTGGACAGCCACGTCCAGGGTGCCCCCTTCACTCCTGAGAATAGACGAGGCCATTAAAGAAGTATCCAGGGCCTTGACCGACTCGTTCACCCATTCAGTAGATTTCCTCGGACATCTCCTGCACTTCAGGCCCCTTTCTGGGTAGTGGGTTGAGGATGAATGAACCTCAACAAGGTTCTGCTGCAGCTGACCTGAGAGGCCCAGGGCGGGGGGCAGGAAACGGATACACAATGAGGAAGAATAAATGCTTGGAACACTATTCACATAGAATCTAGGAGGGTTTAGAAAGGAGGTGACCTCCATCTAGAAGGAGGGATATGGAGCACCTTCTAAGAAAAGACGTCTGACAAGGGGCTTAAATGAAGTGTAGACGTTTGTCATAAAAGGGGGCATGGAGGGCTGGGCTTTCTGGGAAAATGAGAACAATGTTTTAAAAATTAGAAATGGTTTTAGGGAAGTACAATGTTAAGAGGTCCTGCTTTGCTGCTGTCCGTGGCACCCCTCTCTGCCTCGGTTTCCCCATCTGTCAAATGGGATTGTGGCTGCTCAGGTACATTGCATGTGTTCTGATAAGATGGTGCATATGACCAAGCTTGTAAATATTAACCAGTTTTTTGCAGGGTCCCCACTCAAGTGCAGCGTCTGGGGTGGAGGAAGGGCTGCTGGGATTTCAAAGGCTGGCCAAGCTCGCCATATCCCTCAGGGAACAAACAGCCTCCAGCTCTCCCCGGACAGCCACTCTGTGCAGAGGACAGGGCCCAGCAGCTCGGCGAGCAGCCACAGAGAGAAGACAGGTGGCTGGGGCTCGCAGGCACATTGCCCACCCTAGGCGTCCTCCCCTCTCTGTTCCCCCAGGGGCCTGGCCTGCAGGCGCCTCCCACCCACTTTGGTCTGACTGCCCAGGGCAGGGGTGCCTAGCTTGCCTGAGCACGGTGGACCGAGCCTGTGCCTGGGGATCCCGCCCCAGGGTTCTGGCGCGGTCACGCCTGGTGGTGTGAGTGGGAATGAGTCCTCACACGTCTGTCTCCGGTGGGCCGTCACCCACTCCCAGACCGCTGTGGCCGAGCTGGTCCTTCCCAGTCCCTGTGCAGCACCCGGTCAGTGCGGGAAGGTTGCCTGATGCATCCGGTGTGTGGTGTGAGTCTGGCCCCGGCGTTGACTCTGGGCAAGTGGATTAATCTCTAGTGCTCTGGGTTCTCATGTGGGTTCTAGAAAGAAGGTTCTAACCTAGGGCCTGTAATCTCTGGCTTGCCAATCTGAAATCCAAATGTAATTTGTTCAGCAAAATCTGACTCAACCTGAACTTATATGGGAGCAAAACCTAAACTGACAAAGCTATTTATAAATCCTTATTTTTCTCACTTGGAGCGAATATTCACATGTTCCTCTGAGGAAATTATGGGGTTCTGCCCAGACCCATTTGGGCTGTTACATAATACGTGGGATATACACATTACCTGTGCCTTTTGTCATCTGAAATTTTTGAAATCCATGAGTACTTCTGTCTTCAGAGATTTTAATGAAGGGCTTGGACCTGTGAAACCTATATCTTGGGCTATTGAGAGGCTTCAGTGAGTAAGTAAGAGAAAGGTAAAAACAGGGCCTAAGCAGTGTCCCTGCCCAGAGGTGTCTGTGTGGGGGGAGGGTTTCAGGGGCAGGCCAGAGCCTCCTTGACCACAGCAACCTTTGCGGGACAAGCAAGTGGAAGGCCTCAGCCAATGCTTGGCCCCACTGTCCATGCTGCTTTGGTGAGCTCCCAGGTGAGTTCACGCCTGTGAAAAGGCCCTGGTCCACAGGGAGCCATAGGAGAGGGGCTGGCCCTGGGCCAGGCTGCAGGCATCCCTTGGAGATGCGTGCTTTCTGGGCTGTGTCTGCCCCACATCCAGCTGGATGTTTTGACTGAGAACCCAACCCCCTGCTTGAGGTAGCAACCCCTGGTGGGCCCTTGGCTTAGCAGAGCCAGCTGGGCAGGTTTGGAAATGGAGGCCCTAGCTAAGAACTGTCTATGACCCAGAGCTGGACAGCCTTTGAAGGCCTCATGGAGAACCCTGGATGGCAGCCCCTTTATAGGAGCCCAGGCCTACCTCAGGGTCAAGATTCAGCCGTGCCATCCTCCTGAGCATGAAATGGGAGAGAGACAAAGAAGTCACACTGACCCACAGTGGTGGTGTAAGGAAGTGCTTAAGTTTCAAGAGCTGGAGATCCAACCCACTTCCAACACCCGTTCTGTAAACAGGGAAACTGAGGCCTCCAAGATGCGGGGGAGGGTGTCTTACAAGTCCCTGCTCCCAGATCTCTGTTCCCCAGCTGTCCAGCTGTGGTGGTCCCTTTAATCTTCAAGGTGTGCATCCACTATTAAATGTGAGCCCAGAAACATTGTTGGAATGGGGAACAGTTCCTGCAAGGTTCCCAGAGCTTCCTGTCGGAAGGGTTCCATTAACTCTCCCCGTTCAGAACCACTTGATCCACTTCATGAAGCACGTGTGGCCTTCGGTACAGCTGCTGTGGCCGACAGAGATTTATTTATAGCCAGACTCCTGGCTGCTTGGTAACCGCCGTTCACTGCCTTTAAAGAGGCTCGGGATGTTATCTACCTCTATTCAGCTTGAAATCAGGCGTGCAACGCCTTTGGCTCGGGCCAGTGATAATTAAATTGCTATCGTGCACAATTATGGATGCAACGAATAAATGACACAATTAACTGCTCTGTACTTGGAATTGCTTAAAAAGGAAAAGAAGTCACACTACCATGGAGAGGGTTCAGACAGTGGCTGAAAGATGCCACCATTACTCCATCCAGGTTGGGACACACCTGTGGTGGGTGCCTGAACACAGGAGAACCACTCCGCAGGACCCAAGTCCTGGGCGCTAATTGATCTAGCTAGGATCCAGGACTAACTGGCTTCCAGGAGCAAAGGCTGCGGCTGGGGCAGCCCAGGGTGGGCAGCTGCCTGAGGGCCTGGGGGGCCGCCCTGTCTAATTGGTCAGAGGTGGGCTCCTTGGGAAGGCAGTTCCAGCCCCAGAGAGGTCACAGTGCCCCTCCCGCCCTACGTGGTTGCAGTGGGTCCCAGTCTCCAGGCCCTGGCTCTCCGACCTGGAGACTGACAACTGAAAAAGCTCAATTCACCCAGAGCACCTTAGGTCATCTGGGAGGAAGGACGCAGACCACCCAGAAGGAAGACTGCAGGCAAGGCACCACAGAAGGTGGCAAATTGCTGAGCCCCTCCTCAGTTTTCCTTCCAGCCGTCTGGTCCAAGATCAAGGACAGAAGCGCAGGCAAATGCCCCGGTACCTGCTTTCTCCATCTTGAGCAGACAACACTTGGGGCTCCAGAATCCAACAGGCATGTATTCCGATGGTGTTCCTTCTAGTCCAGGGTGTGCTGGTTTCCAGCTGGGGCAGGGCTGTACTTTCTCTTTTAAGTCAGTTTAATTATCATAATAAAAAACCCTGGGCGTGCATGTGAGGGACTGAAGTTTGGTAGAGGCCTGCCAAGGTCTCACAGCAAGTGGGGCAGGAGGACCCTGGCCCTTAGAGCCTCCTCCAGCCCCTCACTCAGAGCAGCCCCCTCAATACCAGCCCTGGGGCGCCCACTGATGATGGACAGGTGGACACGTACCATGCTGCTCTCCCTTGATGCCCAAGGGCAGGAAAAGGGGCTCTGCATGGCGCCCAGGGGTCTAGGACACTGGTTAGATCCCACTCCTGCCAGGGGGTGAGGCGTGTGGGGTGGGCAGGGAAGAAGAGCTGACCTAAGTGCTCCTGGCGTCACATCCCTCAGATCTGAGCCATCCTGGGCCTTAAAGCAAGGCAGTGGCTGGGGAAGTATTCAGACCACTTGCCTGACCATGATCCCTAAGGACAAACATGGATCCCAAGTCCCAGAGGCCGCCCCTGGCGGTGCCTTGCGCATGGGTGTGTTTGTGTGGGCCACCGATCTCTTCAGTAGAATTAGTTCCTTTAAAAGTCAGGAGGTGGCTCACCAAAATATGGGTTGGGGGTTCTTGTTAGAAATGGGGAACCTGGCGCTGCTGACCCTAGTTTCCACGGGAAACAAATTGCTGAGTGACCCAGGTCACTTGTCCCTGCTAGCCCTGAGGTGTATGACACAGGATGAGCTAAAGGCAGAGCCCAGCGTCTTGTGTGTCCCACCACTCACGCCTCCTCGGTGTGGCGGTGTTGGGGTCCCCGGCCAGGACGGCACCCCTTTTCCTTTCGGGGCTGTCTCTCTCCTCCCAGGGAGGATCCTTCCTAGGAGGGTCATAAGAAATGCAGTTCCCGTTCTGGTTCTTCTGAGGGGAGCTGTGTTCTGGGGAAAGACAGCAAAACCCCACAGTGTCCAAGTGTCTTAGTGGTCATGGAATTTATAGCATCCACAACCATTAGAATAAAGTATAGGGTGTTCTATCAGTGTATATTAGCATGTATAATTACTGATGCGTGTCATTAATGATCACTAGTCAATGCTAATTAATACCATATATTAATGCATAGCTGGGGGATATGGCTCTTGAGGGAGAGCAGGAAAGACAGAGCTGACATCCGTGGTCTGAATGGTGGGACACGCCTGTCGGAGGCGAGCTGGGGAGGGGAGCGTGTATACAGAGGGGCCATCACTGGGGCTTGAGCGAGCCAAGCTACCAGTTAGGTGCCCCTCGTGTGTTAGTGATTTGATGACTATAATAAGGCCCAGATTTGGGTGGGGCCATGGAGATGGAGAGAAGGTGGCCGATGGGGCTCGTTCAGGGTGTCTTCTGGGGACGTGGCCACTGGATTGTGCCAGGACAACCCTGGCCTTAGCCTGTCCTCTAGCCCACGGTGGGCTCACTGCCCAGTCAGGTGCCCCTCAGGGCTGAGGCTGGCCAGGTTTTGGCAGACCTCTGTCCCCTGAGAAACATGGAGACCCAGCCAGGTGAGGGCATGTCCACCGCCTCTCACATGGGGCCCTTGCTGCATACCTGGGCTTCTCTCGGGAGTTTGCCTCTGCTCCCACCGCCTCTCTCCCCCGCACGGGGGCACGATTCCTCAAGTCTGGCTTCAGGAAGAAACCCCAAACTCACACCTGCTTCTCGAGGCCTGGTTAGTGTCCCGGCTCTGCCACTGAGGCCCTCAGCCCTGACCACCTTCCCAGGCTCATCTGCAGCGGCAGAGCAGGGCCACCCGCTCCGAGCACAGACTTGTGGGGGCATCCGCCTCTCACCCATCTCAGACGAACACTTGGCCTTTGCCACGACTTCAGGCAGTTTGCATGTGGGTTTTTGCAGACCATACCTGATTTTCAAGCAGAATTCCAAGGGTCTTCCAGCTGTCCACTCCAGCTTGGCAGAGTGAATGGTGGACCCTGGTGGGAAGGTACGTGTCCCCAGACAAGAGAAAGGTGTGCCCAGGGCAGTTAGCAAAAGCCTGGCCTTTCCAGAGTTCTTAGTCACCTGGAGAGTCTAAGGCCCATTAATTTCTAGTTACTTGCTTGGTCCGTGGAGAGGAGTTGGTAGTGCGGTGGAAAACACAGGTCAGCAGCACATTGAGATTCACTTCCAGAACAAGAATGACTAAACCGGCCAGATTTGCATAATAATTTATTATTCAAGAAAACCAGGATTACAGGCCCTGGAAAGAGCTGAAGTGCTGTCCCCGATTGGCCTGGGAAGGAATAATTAAATCCAGTAACCCCAGTTATTACATGGAAATGGGGATATCGAATGGGGCTTAATCGGGCCACTAATTTTCTTAATGATCACTTCTGTTTTCATCTTATTAAAAATGTAATAAATGTTCATTGTTGAAATTTAGAAAGCACAGATAAGGGAAAAAAGGAAATTGAAATCATCTGTGGTTCTACTCTTGGGGGGTAAGCACTGGGCTGTAGCTTCTTATCTGTGCATCCAGATTTTCCCACGCACTTACATACACACCTTCCAAAGAAGGCAGCTCACAGAGTGTAAATGCTTCATAAGCTGCTTTGCTTAATAATAAAATAATGAGCAGTTTGCTGCGTCATTAGAGAGTCTTTGGTACCTAGTATTCCCTCACGTGGGATTACCGTGCATTGTGCTTCTGCCCCCAGGATTGGGCATTTTTAGGTTATTTCCAATGTTTTGGAGGGAAGTGGAATTAGGCGAGGGGCTTGTTTTCCTGCGAAGGGCTCAGGCTGGGAGAGCGTCAGACAGACCCAAGCCACACACTGGTCTGGGGGAACTGTGCCTTCAGCTCCACCTCCTGGACCCCAAGACCAGGGCACTCCCAAGGCAGCCAGGCTGTCCCGGCCACAGATGTTGCAGAGGAAGGCACGAGCAAGTGGCTGGGTTGGGAACCCAGGAGTGGGGCTGGGCCTGGGCCCTTACAGAGGCCATGAGAGCCACCGACGACATTCAGGGAGCTCAGAACTCCTGGCTCTTCTTCGCACTCCTGGGGCGGTCTGCCGTCTTGAATGTGCCATGGGCCCTGCGCCGTTCTAGATGCTCCACGAGCATTACCCACTTGATGGCAGTAGCAGCCCTGCTTTGTAATGGGACGTGGTGACCTGTAGCACTGCATTGTCCTTATCTGTCCCGACCTTCACCACAGCCCCATGAAGGAGGCTGGGCAGGCATCTGTGCCCCAACTAACACAGGGGGAAACCAAGATGGGGGAGAGTGGAGGTTCCTTCTAGGGCACCCGGCCACGGGCAGCTGAGCAGGGACTCCAGCCTCAGGGCTCCTCCATGCCAAAGCCCCCGAGTATGGCACCCCTCAGTCATCCCTACTCACCTGGCCTTGATCTTCACTTGCATGCACGTTCCTCCCCATTCATCCACTGCTCCAACTGGAATCCAAGAGTCAAGCTAGGTTCCTCTCTTCCCTCCACACCCCACACCCGCTCCACTAAATGGTTCCTTGGACCCCCTGATATTTCATTAATTCTTCCATTTTCCCCATCTCTGCCATCCAAGCCACCACCATCTGCTATGACTGCCTTAGCCTGCTTCCCCTGGCTTCCACCTTCCATCCTTGTAGCCAGCCCCCTAGGCCCTGGGGACAGCATCTACCTGGTTCCTGGCTATTCTGCTGTCCAGGGCTGACCACTCCCTCCTGTGGGAGGGTCAGACTGTCTGAGGAATTCTGCCCCCAGCCCCAGCACCTAAGTATCAGGTGGGAGTGTTTATCAGCATCATTGCTGGAAACCCCAGACTTTCCAGGCAGAATGGGCATCCTCAGCCACATCGAGGGCCCAGGTGGGGCTGTGGGACCAGAGTGGGAGCTGGCCTCACTTGCCCACAGAGGGAGGAGTCTGAGGGCAGCAAGTGACCCCGTGTCTCTTTCCCTCTTCCTTGCAGCCATGAAGTCGGGGGGCACGCAGCTCAAGCTCATCATGACGTTCCAGAATTATGGGCAAGCACTGTTCAAACCCATGAAGTAAGTGCCAGGGGCTGGTTGGGACTGGGTGCCAGGGGCAGAGACGGGTCTGTGCTAGAGCATACAGGCAACATATTTCTGGTGAAAAATGCAGTGTTTCCCCCCAGAGGTGTTTTGGGGTGAACTGTGGGTGACCACACTGGGCTTTCTCCCCATCAAGGCAAGCGAGCAATACAGGGGTCCTGCACCCTCACCTCCTCTCTCTGGCCTCTGCAGTCCTCCCCCTCCCCACCTTCATCCAGTGGCAGATCATTCCTACCCCAGCGAGCATAAGTGGTTTTTTTGTTTGTTTGTTTGTTTGTTTTAAAGATTTCATTTATTTATTTGACAGAGAGAGACACAGCGAGAGAGGGAACACAAGCAGGGGGAGTGGGAGAGGGAGAAGCAGGCCTCCGGTGGAGCAGAAAGCCCGATGCGGGGCTCGATCCCAGGACCCTGGGATCACGACCTGAGCTGAAGGCAGACACTTAATGACTGAGCCACCCAGGCGCCCCTAATTTTAATTTTTTTTAAAGATTTTATTTATTTATTTTGACAGAGAGAGACGCAGGGGGAGTGGGAGAGGGAGAAGCAGGCTTCCTGCGGAGCAGGGAGCCCGATGTGGGGCTCGATCCCAGGACCCTGGGATCATGACCTGAGCCGAAGGCAGACGCTCAATGACTGAGCCACCCAGGCGCCCCAGCGAGCATAAGTGTTTTAAACAAGGAACCCAGATATGGACACCAAAGAATGCTCCTAAAGGAGGTGACTTTTGCCTCTCCTGCACGGCTCAGGTATCAGCAGACTTTTTCTATAAAGGGCCAGCTGATAGGTACTTTAAGTTTTGTAGGCCATATGGTCTGTGTCTTAGCTACTCAGGTCTGCTGTCCTAGCCCAAAAGCAGCCCAACAAAATTTAAGTGAACAGGCATGGCTGTCAGTAAAGCTTTATTTATAAAACTAGCAGTGGACTGGATTGACCACCCCCACCCACTGTAGTTTCCTGTTGCATAAAATAGAAACCATGCTACCAGAATAAATATTAAGGCATTCATTGGCATATGAAAATTTGTGGGATGGTGGAGAAGGGATATTTGAAAGCCAGGATGACCCAAGAAAATTCACGGGGAGCATCCATGTTTTTGACGTCCACTCTGATGATGCTGGGGCTTGGGTAACCCCTTTGGTCCAAGGTTGCTCCTCCATCTCCTGTTAGCCCCCACAAGGCCATTTGTGCACTGGCAAGACAGAGTTCATTGCATTTAAAGTGTGGGTTGCACCCCCAAGTGCTCACGAGGACTGTGCAAGTTGTGTGGGCCTGATGCTGGTGGTTGGGGGCAAGCGGGTTGCAAGCTGCCAGGCATGGGCTCCACCGGAAGGGGCAGCTGCCTTGTGTCCGCCAGATCTTGGCCATCTGTCCTGATGTCCAATTTTCAGGATAAGCTAGAAATACGACTATCTTCTCCTACTTAATTTTCAAACTTCAAAAATGATGGTAACTAATTGAGAAGCATTCCAAATACCTTGGAGGCCAAACAGAATACAGCTGCTAGTTTGTAACTTGTGACCGAAGGTATGATTTTGTGTTCAGGGTATTTCTGGACCTCTTGCTCCCTTTCCTCGGGACAGATGTCCCGCCAGGGGTTTGATCCACTTGCCCTGTCTGTGATCTGGGGCTGCCCAGAGCAGGTGGGGCTGAGAACGTTACTCACACAGGCAAGATGAAGGACACCAGGACAGGGTGAAAGCCTGGGGCTGCAGGGATCTGGTGCAAACGCCCCCCGCCGAGGCGTGGTGAAGCCACCCCTGTTGCTGTCAGGGGTCCTCGAGCACAGACACCTCCTTCCCTGTGCAGAAAGGGAAGTTCACATCTCCTTCAGGAGAATCGGTATAGAAAAGGGGGCTGCGGTGGGCTTGCCTGTCTCAGGAAGATGGCTGGATGCAGGAGTGTGGACAACCAGTGTGGTTCATGCAGCCCCCAACTCAGGACGGATGACTGGGGGGGGTCCACACAGCTGGAGGGTATGCAGCCTGGGGGCGTGTGAGGGCTCCCGTGCAACATTCTGGAAGGAAATGAGGCCTGGGATGGGCATGGGCTCCTCGTGGAACTTCCCAGCCTCCTTGGGCTTCTTCGTGGTTTTGGCCCCTCTGCTGAGGGCAGACAGTTGAGAGGTTGCCGCCTCTCACAGGGGAGCTGAGGCAGAAGGGCTCCTTCCAGTCCCTCGATGCCACAAGGGTGCTCTTCCCGTCCCCCCGTGGGGTTACCTGTGTGAACACCTGCGGAGGGGATGCCCAGTGTGGGCTGTAAAAGCAGCAGCACTGATAACGTTGCCTGAGAGGCGGCCGTGTGCGGGCGCTGCCGCCCCAGCCTTTCAGGACCGGGCTCTGTGCCCAGCGTTCACACAGCTGCTGTTCCGTCCTCAAAACGCCTCCGGGGGTCCTGCCACATAAAGATGAGGAAGCCAGGGCTCAGAGAAGTAGCGAAGATTGCCCAAGTTTGAGCCCAAAGTCCAGGGTGCCCTGCTTCCCCCTCCCCCCCACTGCCCCGGCCTCTCCCCCTTCACCTCCACCCAGCCTCCCCCCACCAGCCACCTCCCCGGCCGGGCCGGCTTCAGCAGCCACGGTGGGGGCACCACCCGTGGTCATGGGAGCAGCTGAGTGTACAGATCTGGCACGGTGGGACAGCCAGGCTCCTGGGTCCCTGGAAGGCTCACTTCTCTCCTAACTCTCTGTCCCCAGCCCCTTTATAGCAGGACGAATGCCTGGTCCTGCCTCTCCAGGGCTGAGAACCTCTAGGCAGCTGGGGAGACTGAGGCCAGAAAGGCCAAGCACATGCTCGTGGCCTGCCAGCTAGACTGCCAGAGCCAGGGCTGTGGTCGGTGTCCTGAGGTCAGCCAGGCTCCAGCGTGCAGCGTGTTCCTGGGCAGCCGACCCCCACCGGGCAGGGTGGACACAGCTTGGGGGTTTACAGGCTGTCCCTGTTGTCCCTCTTGCAGCTTCTGCTGGACTGGATCCAGGCGTTCCTTGGCACGCTCTGCTGACCACGTCCTGAGTCTGGTATTGATTGGGGTCCTGTGGCCAGCAGCTTCCACTCCCCTGAGGACCCCGGGGCCCGGGCCCAGGACATGAGGAGGCTGCACGCGCCATTCCCATCCCCCGGTGCCTGTGGTCTGAATATGAAAGCAGCTGTGGTTTGTGACCATAGCATTAAAAAATTAAAATCCATGATTAATAGTTCTTTTTAAGAAAAACTTTTTTCTATGACCTCCTAATAGCTTTGTAAGTTGTCAGTAGAAGAATCTGAATTAGTTAGATGGTAGTACTTTTCCTCCAAGGTCTTGAAGGATAGAAGTTCAGAGGTTCTAGAAGAGGAATGGCCAGTGAGATGAAGGCTTGAAGCCTGGGGGACCTGCTGAGTGCAATTTGTGTGCAGTGGGGGTGACTCCTTGAAGTTTAATGGTTAGATATTTTTAAAAGTCACTGGAAAACATATGCCTAGCACATTAGTCCGCAAGTTTATGGACACTCTTGCTTTAGGGTTAAAGTAAGAAAAATCTCGGGCGCCTGGGTGGCTCAGTTGGTTAAGTGACTGCCTTCGGCTCAGGTCGTGATCCTGGAGTCCCGGGATCGAGTCCCACATCGGGCTCCCTGCTCAGCAGGGAGTCTGCTTCTCCCTCTGGCCCTCCCCCCTCTCATGTGCTCTCTCTCTCATTCTCTCTCTCTCAAATAAATAAATAAAAAATCTTAAAAAAAAAAAAAGAAAAGAAAAATCTCTAACAGCTTCATCAGGATGTAATTCACGTATCATACAGTTCACCCACTTAAAGCCTACACTCAGTAGCTTTTACTATATTCACAGAAGTGCACGTCCATCACCACCACCCATGTGAAAGCCTTTTGGGGTCTCCAGAAAGGGCCCTGTCCAATGTTGCCATCACTCCCCAATTTCCCCTGGACCACCCTCTAGGCCTGGACCACCACCAAGCCATCTTCTGTCTCTATGGATTTACCCACTCTGGAATTTCATGTAAATATGCTATGATATATGTTCTTTGTAACCCGCCTCTTTCACTGAGCATCACGTACTCTGGGTTCATCCACGTTGTGGCAGGTGTTCCGCGCTCCACTCCTTTTTACTGCCAGGTGATATTGCATGGTGTGGATAGGCCATATGTTATTTATACTTCCACCAGTTAATGGGCGCTGGGGTTATCTCCACTCCGGGGATGTTACGAATAACGCTGCAATGAACAGTCACGTACAGGTCTTTGGGTCGACATGTGTTTACAATTTCTTTTGGGTCTATACCTAGGACTGGAATTGCTGGAATCTGGTAATAACTGAACTTAACCGTTTGAGGGGCTGCCAGACTGTTTTCCACAGGGGCTGCACCACTTACATCCCTGGCCTGCACCTGTTTGATTCTGGGCCCCCTGCGGGCGTGAAGTGGTGTCTCCTTGTGGTTTTGACCTGCATTTTTCTAATCACTAATGATGTTGAGTAACTTTTCATGTCCTTCTTGGCCATTTGTGTATCTTCTTCAGAGAAATGCCTCTTCAGATCTGCCATTTTTTAGTTGGGTTGTCTTTTTGTTAGTAGTTGTAAGAGTTCTTTATGCATTTTGCACACAAGACCCTCATCATATACGTGGGGTCCTTTGAAGCATGAGCTTTTTATTTTGAGGGTGTCCAGTGCAGGTGATGTGTGTGGCCAAAGTTTGCAAGTGCTGGTGTACCCACAGAGCCGGCAGGCCTGGCATGACCACAGGCCCCAAGTTCCTCAAAGGCAGCCATGAGGAGCTGGTGGTCTAGCAACGTGGGGTGGAGTTGGTTGGACATACCAAAGAGTATGGGCTCTTTGCAACAAGTTTCAGCTTGCTTCTTGAAAAGCAGCCTTCCAGGCAGGCCCAGGATGGCAGCTGTGACCACCTCCCGGCAGAAACATTCACAGCCATCCCACAAATGCTCACAGAGCCCCTGGGCTTGGTCTCGTGCCTCTGCAGACCCTGCTCTCTTGCTGCTC